AAGCAGAGGACGCGCCGGAGCGCTCAGTCCGGCCGGGCACCGCAGGCCACTGTCCAGAGCGGGTCTACAGGCGGGCCAGTGCCTGGTCCTGCCCCGTGCCAGCGCGGGCTGCAGCCCCAGGTTCCTGGCAGCCTAGAGGCCTGCCCCCTCCCTCAGCCCCCGCCACTACCCAAGAGCTCCACGGAACAGTGGGTGCTCGGGTGAGCCCTCCGGGGGCCACGTACGGGGCACAGAGGACGGGTTGGCACAGCGGCCACAGCACCCGGCCTCCTGCCATGCCACTTAAGGGACACAGGGGCTGCCCCGTCGCACAGAGGAGGGACGGGGAGGAGGCCGTGGCGGGACAGGCCCCCTGGGGTGGGGCACTCCCCCTCATTCAGCATGCACAGCCCGGCTGGAGGACAGGCAGGACGTGAGGGACGGCCTCTCTGATGACAAAGGCCCTCGGCTGGGCCAGCAGTGACATCTCCATGCTTACCGGTCTGGTGACGAGGCATCCAATCAACTATTTTAAAAAACCTCATAATTATGTGTTACATCCCCCCAAAAAATCACAGTTGATCTCTCTCGCTCATGCAAAGTTTAAAACCGAAGCCGCCTCTGGAGGCCTGAGACGAGCACCCTCAGCGGCCCCCACCGCAGTGCCCGGGCCGCTGCCTCCAGGCCGGACAGGATGCTCTCTAGGAGAGCCCGGGGAAAAGCTGCCTCCGCGCCCTGCAGCCGCCCGTCCACTCACCAGTTCTCCTCTTTGTGGGCCTGGAACGCCCGCAGGAAGGACGTCCCACGTCAAGGAAAGCGTCCCACAGATGGGGTCACGAGCAAGGAGCCCGAGCTTTAAGGGGTGCAGCTCCCCCTCAGGGGACCGTGTCGTGACAGTGTCCATCCTGAAGGAAAAGCATACCCACCCACACGGATGCCCCACGCCCTTGGTTTGAGGACGCCAACCGCTCCCATCAGCTGCCCTCCAGCAGGGGGTCGGCCGCCGAGGGCTGTTCCCAGCCTGCACCCCAGCTGCCGGTGCGGCCCCCAGCCTGGCAGGGCCGAGCATGCTGCTGTGCTTGAGCCCGTGGCCCGCGCTCATCTGCTGACGGTCGGTCCCCCGACTGCGTTTCAACGAGGTGCTCAAAGAGGCTGCCACAACCAAGAGGCGTGCGAATACTCCAAGCACTCGTGGACCAGCGCCCCAACCGTGACGCCGTTGAACGAGCTGGCCCGGGAAGGGCCGGGGTCGCCAAGTGCAGCCATGCCCACCTGGGCCTGACCCTGGCGTTCTGGCCTGTCCAAGAGACTGACCCAGCCCTGCTCAATGCTCAGTGCCCTAAAAGCAGCCCCACTGTGCTTCTCCACAGCAGGAGCAAAGCCCTCCTCGGTATCTGCACCTTCCTGATGGGGAGTCACGAGCCCCCAGGGTCCACGTGACTCCCGGTACCAGAGTAAACAGCTAAAATGGGCTTTTCTTCCAAAATATCTTAGCACCCTCCTGACTACAGGAACAGACCGGGGCCCACATTCAAGGCTGCAGAGCCCAGGTGACCTGCCACACCCCAGGCTGCACGGCGCACGGGAGGAAAGATATTGCACTATCACCGTCTGGCACCTGTAGGCCTCTATGAAGTCGTGGTTTGCCACCGCATACGTGCACCTGTAAAGCGAGGGTGAGCAGGTCAGACAGCCCGTGCTTGAACGGACTCCCCCGTGGCAGTGCGTGGGCCACGCGGATCCCCAGAACAGACACCCAGCCCCCAACGGCTCCGGGACAGAGCTGGTGCTCAGGCTCGCCAAGTAACAGACACGGGTCTGCCAGCTCCCTTCCCCGGTCCTGAGAGGAGCACGTTTCTGCGAGCCATGAGCCATGTGCCTGCCGCTGCTCCCACCAGCTGCCCACAGGTTGAGGAGACCCATGGGCAGGGGCGGTGCGTGCCCGTGTGAAACTGCGCACTGCAGGGTCACTTGGGGGCCCCTTCTGCACAGAATGCAGCAGCACCCCAACTCTTCCAGGCCTCCCAGGCCCACAGAACTTCCCTGTCCACCGGCCCGGGCCTGCTCTGAGGGCAGAGGCCCCTAAGCCTCACCCGGCTGCCCACACCCCCCCGCCTGTGCAGGCAGACGCTGAGACAGCGGCCATGGGCCTGAAACCAATAACCAGGGCCATGCAACGCAGTAGGAGGAGGTGGGGCCGTGGTCCCCACTGTGCTGCCCCAGAGGCTGGACCATGGGCGCTGAAACCGAGTGGTCGCGGTTGACAGCACCGCGGCAGGTCGGGGGACATCAGAGACCTGCTGTGTAGGGAGAGGGCACCCTGTTTTTGGAACCCAGCACCCGCTGCACCCACCCACAGCGCCATGAGGCCAGCCCTGGCTGCCCAGCCATGCCCCCCGCCCCCGGGCAGTACCGTAGGTGGGCTGCGAGCATCTCATCGTATGGCGGCTCCAGGACCTGCTGACACTTCTCCTCCGGAGACGCCATCTGACACGGAGAGGCCGTGCGTCAGCTCACGCACAGGGAGGGCGCGGCGCGGGCTCCCCGCCTCTGCCCCAGAAGGGCGTGCACCACAGCCGCGTTGAACTGGGGCCTGCTTATGCCCTCCATGGGGAGGCCCCCAGCAACTGGGGAAGGGGACCCCAAGACTCCCTGGTGCAGGGGGACGAGGAACCCTTAGACAGGCCGCTTGTGCCCCCCGCGGGCGGGCGTTCGAGGCACTCCAAAGTACACTTGGATACCGAGCAGCCAGACACCTGCTGAGTGGGCACCAGAGCTCACCCGTGCCGGCAGGGCTCACACGGCAAGCTGGGGGTGCACAGGGAGTGGATGAAACGAGCTAAAATGCGGACCAGCAGGTGGCATAACAGTTACATCGCCGACTCCCAGAGAGTCAACCGCTGTTCAAGTCCCGGACATGATGGCTTAAAGTCACGTTGGGCGCGTGTGCGTGCGTGCCCAGGATACTGAGAGAAGAATGGAGGAGAAGGGATTGTGTCATGGCCATCTCCCCCGGGGAATGATTTCTCACTTTCTGTCTCTGTCTTTCTGGGGAGCTCACACGCCCTATAGCAAAAACCTCTCAAAAAATTAAAAAAAAAAAACTAAAATAAAAATGAAGAAAAATAGCTTGCCACAAAAAGCAATAATAAAAAATAACAAGCAGAGCACACGGAATCGTCGAAGGGAAGGTCTATGGAGCAGGCAGGCCCCACAGTGCAGGGCGAGTGCTGTGAGCGGGGAGCTGCGCCCACATGGAGTCCACAGAGCACCACAGCCATGGCCTGGAAGCATACGGCGTACACGTGAGTGCTCAGGGTCCGGAGGGCGGAAGCCGGAGATGTGTCCCTCCCTCATCCCGTACCTTTCTGCGAGCACAGGAGCCCCTAAATTAATGGGGGCCCAGCCAATGCTTCTCATAAAGGGCAGATGGTCACCGTGTCCGGCCTGCAAGCCGCAGACCCCCGCACCAGCCACCGGTACGGGCAGGGGAAGGAGCCGTGAGCAGCTGTCCCATGGCCGAACCGGCTGTGAAGTGGGAGACGCCTGTGGCTCTCCGTGGTGGGCTGGGGCAGGCAGGTCTGGACAGAGCCCATGCCCCTGCCCTCTCGGCCCTCCCAACCCCAGGGACCTGGAGAACGCCCTCAGCAGGCAGTGCATAAACCAACCGGGAGGTGGTAGAGGAGATTTGGAAGCTGAGCTGGATGGCAGCACCCAGGGCTGAGCCTCGAGAGGCCCCCGGCACCCTCCGGCAGCTCCCACCTACCTGGAGCCGTGGGTTTGCAACGTGAGGGTGCTTGAAGGACACCAGTTCTGCACACGACGCGCCATCACGGCTGTCGATGGCCTCATACACCTGCAACGGGGCAGGGAGGTGGGTGAGCACCGCCCACCTAGACCCACGCGGTGCACGCGGCGCCAGAGCCCTCCTTCCAAGGTACTCGCGCAGTCTGAGACTCCATTCTACGTGCGGCCTTCCAGAGGAAGAAGGGCTGCAGAGCAGGACGGCCATGGTTGTCACCGGGGTCACGGAGGTGCGGACTCTCGCTCCGCTTGGTCACTGACATGCATCTGGAAACCCACTCATACCGCCTCAAGGAAAATGCCAAAAAACCACAAGACAACACGCGAATTTCCACTGGACCTAAATGGACTGAGCACGAAGCCAGCTGAACGGAGGATGCTGCGATGGCCACCTGGCTGCCGTCTTATAACAAGGCGTCTCCACGTCAGTGCGCCGACTGCCCGCACGCCATGGGAGACGGAAAGATGGGAGAACGTAGAAGTACTAGAAACTAGTGGGCGTTAGAGACAAAGTGGGAAGGTGGGGGGAAG